TTCAAAGTCGTGATAGTGCTAAAGTGCGTGAATTTATTTGTATATGCCCGAACAATCTTCTCCTTGTATAGGTCCAGCCACTTGTATTCACAGTACTCAGCTACTACTTGATGCTTAGTATGAAGTATTTCAAGCCGTTTGATAAGGATGTCTTCTGTCTCTGACTCGACCAGATGATACTAAGCAGCCATAAATATGGAACATGCTTCACAGTCTTTAGTGACAACACAAGACTCTGTAGACTTCTCCATATCTACAACCTTTAGCATATGCACCTGTGCTCTAGTGAGCACGTTCTTGTTAACATGCCAATAGCAAAGTAGAGTAGGGACAGAGGGAAACGTGCTCGCAAGAGCTCGAAGTAGCGCAAGATCACGATCAGTGACGAAAACATTTAGAGCTTTAATATGGTTTGCGTGAAAGATTGTCTTTAGCTGCTCGAGTGTCCATTCATAGTCATCTTGTGTCTGGCATGCTTAAGTTAGTAACTGTAGTGGAATTATAATAACTATAGGCCCACAAACCTTATTGTGCTGGAAGCATAGCCCGAGGTTGAATGTTGTATTCATCCTAGTATAGCTGACTAGATCCAGAAGCGGGTAGTTATATCGATTTGTCTTGTACGTGCAGTTGAGAATCAGGACATCGAAATTCTCCTTGTATATTGCCAGGGAGCGTGGATGAATGACTAGTAAGTGACTGAGGGTCCCTGCTTTCTCATGATTTTCTGGAAAAGTTTGATGAGGGTAGTAGTAGCCACTGTCTTCCAACTCAGAGAAAAGGGCTTCCACAACGGATCTCCCTTGTAAGGCTCTAGCCTTGGCCTGAACTCGCTTATTGAAGATATCCTGTTTGGTAATGAGAATATTGGGGAACTGCTGTTGCAGTTGCGCATGCGTTTGACGAACAGCACAGCCAGCCCATAAGTCCTGCATGATTCTTACCTTGACTGGGGTTTCCCGTTTCCTGTGCGCTGCGTATGTGCCTACCGGTGCAGGCCTATGATTATATTCCCCTTCTCTTATTGTTAGGCGCCACCTTCCATCTGATTGTTCTTTTCCAATACAACTCACGCGGCACCCCGTTTTTTTTGATGAATGGTTCGGACGCTTCCGATTCTCCTCAGTGAGCTTCCATTTATTCGCTAGCTGACCATAGCACACGCAGGCAATGATGATAGACTTGCTATACGCATTCGACTTCAGAATTGAAAGAGCGTATCCAGCTTGCTTTGCATGCTCTTTACAATGCATCAATAGATCTTCTTTTGAGCCATATAAGCCTTCTGGAGGCGGCTCTAAAGATAGAGGCATCAGGGCAACTGGTTAGTCGGCTGTAGTTGACTCGTAACGGAGATCAAAGATGGCAAATACGCGTAAAGGTATAGAAGACGCGTCCACCGCGCGTAGCTAAGGTTCTATCTCAATCTGTTTACTTAAGGCGTATATTACACGAAATAAAAGGGGTATAAAGACTATATAATGCGTTTAAGGTATAGCGGCTTGGCGAGGTGGTCCAAAACAAGATCGAGGTGGTCCGAATCAATTCCCTGTGTTGCAGGAATATCACATGATCTCCCGCATAAAAGACTCTTTTCTGTAAAGGCAAACCAAAGAATATATGAGAAAAACACCATAACAGCGAGAACTCAAATCGTTGAAATTGAATATTCCTATCATGCGAACACGTCACCCTGAAGGAACTGAGGTCGTCAGCAGTCGCAGCGCGTCGCCCAACACGTGTGGAACGGGAAATGACGATCCCATAGCCCCAAGAGGTGGCATGGCCAGTACTAATACAGGAGCACGCTACTCAACTTACAGGGCACCTTCGGAACATACTGCTCCATCTAGGTCACAAGAAAAACCAACCAGTAACCCCAGAAGAGATGAGAACAGTAGTTATGGCGGCAATATCCCTGGTCAGAAAGGTTATAAGGACCCCTAACATGACAGCGGTATATCAGAAGATGAGTACCATATATACAGAAATAACAGCAAACGCGAATGGCATAGCAAAAGAGATATATAACATCAAAGAGGAACTCAAGAATCTGGTAGTGAAGATACAAAAAGGCATCATAGTGGGCGAGACAGCCACCATGGCGGCGACTGAGGCCGCGGAAGTAGGCAAGACATTCGCCGCTACAGCGAGAGACATAAAGAACAAAGGAACACAGCATCAGACAGGAGGACCAATAAGCTATGCTGCTGCGGCAGCACATAGTACCCTGATCGCAAATACACACAGCACACAGAATGCTCATAATGCTCCATCTCCAGTGCAGCGTGAGATCATCATGAACATAAGAAATGCCCAGACAATCCAACACCTACGCGCCATGAATCCGCGTATCATGAAAGCCCATGTTGACACAGCCATCGCCCAGAGCGAAAACGAACACGTAGCTAAGATCACCACCATATCAGCCAACCAACTCAAGAGCGGGGATCTCAGCATCAGAACAGCAACGAACAGCGAGATGCAGACGCTCCATGAATTCACGGATGACTGGGTTCCTTGACTCGGAAGCGGAACATCAGTACACACCCATACATATAGGGTTATTATATATAGTATATGCACCAGCATAATGAACACTGAGAGGTTCAAGGAGGTCAAAGCCGAAATCCTGCAAGCCAACAGAGCATTCCTCCCCACAGCAGACATCAAATACATTGGCTGGCTGACTAGGAGACCACCATTGTCTATCGTCATCAAGTTCACACGAGCAGAAGACGCCAACAAAATCATCGACGAGGGACTGGTATGGGAAGGAGAGAGATGTAATAGCGAATGATATAAGAGACGGTGCTAACTGAAGCAGTGCTTCAAATGCTAAAAATACAGCTATATAGGAACCTAATGCAAGGCAGCAAAGACATGTGGCTACTACGCGCAGTTACACAGCTCCTGGGAGTGCCCATCCAAGACCGGCCAGGATACCATCAGGAAGTGCGCAGTGTGCCTCGGAGTACATAAAGCATAGAGCCAGGCATGCCTAACCAGGAAAGAGGAATTGGGTAAGATCAAAGTAGTGCTCGCAACACAGCCCAAGTATCACCTGACCTTAAAAGCCAGCGGCGAAACAGATCAGCGGGGGCCAGATCGGATGATTCTCAGGAGATCAAGGTCTGAGAGGGAACTAGCCCTGACGTCGGAATCAGGGACGAGCCGGCCTAGCTCCACGCGAGGACGAGGACAGAAGAGGTCAGCACCCACAGGAGACAAGGAAAATGAAGCCCCAAGTGCCAGCTAATGACTATAGAGGGTGGCAATACTGTCGAGGCGGGCGCTCAAGGCGCTGGAAGTGAACATGAGCAGACGCAACAACACACAGATAGATATTAACCCTAATATAGATGCATGATCAAATGACAACAACAATTGAATATACTGCAGTACAACGTATATAAATCAAAGGACACAGTCATGGCGACACTGCTACGGGACCCCAGGGTTGCAGAGTACGACATGCTTGTGATCCAGGAGCCATGGAGGAACCCATTTATATTGACAACACACCACCCAGCGAAGGAAATATTCCACCTCTGCTACCCAACTGTAGATGATGGGGAAGGCCCAGCATGGTTGTGCTTCTTCATTAATAAGAGACTCGATCACAGCGCATGGCAATTTAAACAGCACACGAGAGACTTGTGCACGCTGAAAATCAGCACAAACGGACCAGGTGCGTCAGATGATGAGCTTATCATACATAACGTGTATAATGCACCACAGAACACAATGGGACGAAACAGTATCCTTCCGCTACTCAAGATACAACTGGAGGAATATGCACCTAAAGAACAAATCGCCTTAGGCGACTTCAACCTCCATCACTAGTTCTGGGGGGGCTCAAGAGTCCGACACGAAGAACAGGAGGCAAAGGATCTCCTCAAGATAATGGAGAGTCTAGACATAACCAGCATGCTAGAACCAGGCACTATCACCTATGAAGAAGGGGACAGCAGATCGACCATAGACCTCTGTTAAATGACACTAGGCGTGGTGGACAGGACCATCAAAAGTACAGTGAACAAAGATATAGATCACGACTCCGACCACCTACCCATCAGCATTCTTCTAGATGTCAGAACCAACCAGAATGATGTCAAACCCAAACGTCCATAGAAACGCCTAAACACCAAAAGTTTCTGCGACGCGCTATAATACTCCCTACCAACATGAAGAAGACCGAGGACACCTGTGGCATTAGATAGCTATACTTGAAAACTCGTAGCTGCTATCACTCAGGCCGCTGACAAAGTACTCCTGCTAAGAAAACACAGTCCCAAAGCCAGGGAGGGATGGGATGACATATGTACAAGCTTCCACTATTACACATACTTGGCTGCACCAATCTTCAGACCTTTTTCTCTATTAGCTTCTGCTTTCTTCATAATGAGACAGAGGAAGATTACTAATGGGCACTCTCAACCTTGCTCTCACTCACAGGATTGCCGCATCCACGCATATTTATAAGCGACCAAGAACAAGCAATAAAGCAAGCAGCTCGTAGATTACTTCCAAATATTCTAAAGCTTCTTTATATATGGCATATTAATAAGAATGTCCAGATAAAGGCTCAACTTGTATGGAGAGACGCCGATGGTACAACACTAGAAGAAAAGAAGGCAATTGCTGAAGTACGTCAGAATTTTCTGAAGCACTAGAACCAGGTATGTCACACCTAAACAGTATTGTTAATAATCTAATAAACTAGGTCATCTTCACACCTAAGCGTCCTGACTTTCAAATAAAGTGGGATAAGCTTCTTAATCATTATCAGCATTAGGAAGAACTATGCAGGTATCTAAAGGAGAATCAATATGAAACACGCACTTCATGGGCGAAGGCTTAGACATCCTATTATTGACACTATGATACAATTACAACTTCTCCTATTAAAGGAATGTATAAAGTACTAAAGGATTATTTACTGATTTCTACTAGCAATATACTACGTGTTGTTCAGAGAATCAAGCAGTAAATCCATAATCAGTATAATAAATATGAGAAGGATATCGCCTCATCTATGCATAACATCAAGTTTGAGCATATGCATGAGAAGATGCCATTCCTGCCATCTAATATTCATACAATAATCACACCGCCTGCAGTCGAACGTATCAGACAACAGGAACTTATGCGTCAAAAGGAAGAGAAACAGCCAAGCAGTAAAAAGCCTTATTCAGGTCTTTTTAAGAGGATAAATGGCCTTCCATGTCGCCATAGACTGCAAATGGCAATAAGTTATGGGCCTTTACCTCTGCGCTATATATATGACAATCACTAGCATTATCAGTATACATACAGAGAGTCTATTTAAATACCTTCGCTAAGACCACACCAGTTTATCCTTAAGCCACTTCTAGCTAATACAAGAGGAGCGCAGAAGAAGAGCCAATCATCAACTCGCCGAGATCCATCAGTATTTAAGCGCTCTTTACCACAATCTAACCCTATAAACCAGAAGGAAGGACAGACACTAGCCGAAGCCTTATCAACTAGTACATAGGTTACTATGTCTATAGCTCCGCACATGCTATCTATAAAAAATCCTGTAATAACATCCGTGTCTATATCAATCCCAGTAACAGCTGGGCCAGTGTCAACTCCGCTCTCCTCGCCAACTGCTTCTATTCATTCTTCACCAATTTCTGTCACAGTATCTGTTACTGAAGCCCCATCATCATCACCGCCACAACCGCCACAACTACCATAACCACCACAACCACCACAACAACAATCTTTATAGCAGCCTCCATCTTTAGAGGAGTTCTTAGCAGATATTGAACGCCGTCGACATCAACCAGTTCTAGATAGCTTACACAATATGTCCGCAGTATTTAGTCATTTATATAAGACCGGGCAGGAAGACGCTCCACCTAAGTTAGTTGAGGCACGGCATATGGCACTAAGTACCCATAGAATCTATGCTAATTGCACCGCAACTATGGCGTGGAACTTTCATTTTAGAGACAAAGATGCCTACTACGCTAAAAGATTTGCACAAGTTCAGGCTCGAAGATCACCACCTCCAGTACAAAGTACACTAGTATTACGGTCTAAGCGCGCTGCAGCACATAAAGCATCAGACACATGGTCATCACTTAGCCCAAATAAAGGACAACGCCATAGATAGATATATATAGACACCTTTATTAACTATATAAGTTTGTTCAAAGATATGCGGGTCATCTTGTTGAAGGGCTGCCATTATCTGCATTGGCCGAACTCCAGCATATGAAATAGTCTTAATGACTTCTTTTTGCTTTTCTGTACGTTTGCGATAGACGTTATAAGCCATTAGATTAATAGATAGGGCATGATTGTGCTGCTTAACTTGGACTTCTAGTTTCCACTGATCATTTTGGGTATCTTTAAAGATGACAAGCTTAAAAGGACACCCTATTACACATGTGCTTGTGCTTAGAGTCTTTGCTGTTGACTTATAGACTCTAAAGCGGTCGCATTGATAATAATATCGTGTTTTGATATCAGAGTGGTGAGGCTTACTCTGTTTAAGTACAAAGCTGTACCTGTTTTGGATACCATGACTTTTGAGAGAGTTGTATGCTTCATCATAAGAGCTATAAATAGAGTCTGGCGGAGCAGGAATATCTTCCATAGTTGATACTGGTAATTGAAGAATCTTTATAGATACAATTCATTGATGAAGTTGCCCCTGAAGCGCGGCGCGTTATTATACGCTAAGCTGTTTACAGCGATTTAAATTACATTACAGCTAGCCGGGGGGACAAATCCCAGAATCGGGGGGACAAATCTCAGCAGCCATACTAACTAGGATGGGTCAGAGTAAATGAAAAATCAAATCAAATCAAATCAATCACGCAATCACCCGCGAACATCTCCGCAAAATTGACCCTTCCTTACCAGGAAAACATGTGCGCAAGCTCTATGACACGAAAACGCGCCCTCAAGCAAACCTACTAGCTCAACTACGTACAGGCCACTCATAGCTAAAGAGCTATAGGAAGAGGTTTGGCAAAACCCAGGATGATAACTGCGAATGTGGAGCGAGAGAGACACTGGCACATGTGTTTCTTGACTGTCCCACTCTATGAGGACTACGACAACGACTGCGGAGGCCGATAGGACCCCCTCTTAACAGCCTATCGTCTTTTATTTCAGAAGATATAGCAGATGGAGAGCTACATGCTATACTTGAATTTGCTGAAAAGTCTGGAAGGTTCCGCAATAGAGACCTTTGATAATAAAGCTAGGTTATGTTTACGCTATAAATAGGGTGAGAGATGAGGTTACTATAAAGAGACAACTCTAAGCAGGAACAAAACTTCAGGAAATAGAACCGTAAAGAGGAATGTAAATAGATCACATGACTCGTATGTAGCCTGCATATCCTAACTAGGATGGGTAAATGAAAAATCAAATCAAATCGAATCAAATCACGCAGTCACCCTTTGCGCATAAGCATCACTCAAAACGACATGCTATACCAGCTCAACTAGCTGGTATAGCTAGGTGATATATATATCTTCACATCTCTATGTAATATCTCTTAAAGTTCAAATTAATTTGTTCATGTCTGAATTCAAGGAATCTACATAATAGCTATGTATACTTATATAGAATATATTGAAAAAGTGTTCGACAGCTCAAGTATCCATACAAACGGAATGAAAGAGAATCATGTAATTCGTGAGCAACATTATGGACTCATTTCGTTAAAGAATCTCTTTCGAAGACTGTCAATTTATTCAAGCTTGGAATTTCCATGCCATCTTAGCAAACTTGCTGAGCAGTCACCGTGATTTGCGAAGGAATAGTCATAGTGGCAGCTAAAGACGCGTTAGCGGAGCGTGCTAAAGTTCAAAGTGGCACTCAGACCTGGAGTGTGTGCAACGAATGTAGGAAGATTTGCAGTTTTTGTTCGACCGCACACGATCGCGCCCGAGGATTGCCCATTGTAGATAGCAGTAGCGATGATACTCATTGGAATTATGAGGTTAGTGTACTGGCCCATTTGACAATAGTTAATCGTGGCTGGGTAGTAACAACTCTCAGGATGGTCGGATGGCGTGGCAGTGGCCAACTCCACGGGAAGTGGGAGAGTCAGACTTGGACAAGCGGTTCCGCTCATTGCCACAAACCAAATGCTCGTGGCAGAATATGTTGCGCATGATGAGGTTGGAGCACACGTTAGAACATTGACTCTTTTGCTCGAAAGAGAGTAGGAGGCCAAAGAGCTGAGGGAGACAGCCAGAAATGATGTGATCTTCATGATAAAAACGACTGGAGAGCTTCACTAGTATAACTAACAGCCTACAAAATCCGAGAGGTATCATTTTAATGAGCTACGACCCTTATATGCTTAGCAATAACTGGAGAAATGCCCACACAAATTGAAGCGAACTATGCAGGCAATACACTCAAAATCTTCCTTGGAAGACTATGGAGAAAATAGTGTTCTAGCCCTATTGATATGTAAAGGCGTAATGCAATTTGACAACGATTGATGTAAATGGAGTCTGACTTGGTTCCTAAGGACGGTGAACCCAGCTTGCGGAATGAAGCAAAAACATACCCGCCACGCTTGAGCTATCGTTTGATAGTCTATAGAGTAGTCTGGCACTCGTTCCATTCTCAGTCGGCTTTCTCCATCCACTTGCATGTGAAATCATTGACGAGAAAGGGCTGAGCGCCTTTCACAACATCCTCAATTCTTTCATCATAAGGCACGGCGACAGCCCTAGCGGATGTGCCAGCAACTTCCCAGTATTTCACGATACAGTCAGTATCGAAACCTCTGTTCGTTTTCTGATCAAGGACTTAATCGCATGGGCCAAGTTTTAAGCCTAATAGAGCTCTAGCTTCAACTAAGCCCCACTTGCCCTTGCCGCCATCCATCCCACCCTAATGAATAGTCTCGAGAGATGCCTTGTAGCCTGTATTTCCAGGACAGTGGGTAACCTGGATGAAGGTATGCTGTATGAAGTTCAATAATGACTCCACTCATATAGAAGGTGGCAGAAGAGGACAGATTGCAATGACATCACGATGGCAATCACTTATTTGGAACCCTATAGTCTGATGATCATGGAACCTCTGTCGACCAGTTGCACGTCCAAGCTATAATACTGAGACATCTGATCATTAGTAGAGATATAGTATGGGATCATTAAAGCCATCATCTGAGCTAGAACCATAAGTGTACAGCACTCTATTCATGTAGCAATGACTAGGATACATTAACCTGAACACCGTTGTGGACCACACCTGCACAGTATGGGTAGGCACCTCTCTACTGCCCAGCTTATGAAGATCGAGCATATGCTTCTCCATGGTACATTCAAGAACGTTCAAATTGCAGAAAGTGCAGAATGCTCTACCTGTGTCATCCCAAGGGTTCGATCCAGGCTACGAAACCGTAACTTTACCAGAAATCTCCCTAAAAGGCAATTTCGACCTTCTCTACCTTTACTTGAAAAGAGTGGGGCCAGAGTGCACTTGGCGTAAGGACGAGGTTCTGTTCCGTATTCCTTGTGAGAAACCTCCTATTGACCGTGAATTTCCACTTGATAGTGTAGTGAATGCAGCTTGGGGGATTCTTATTGTACGGATTTGCTTTATCCCATTCACTCAACTGTAATAGCTGTAGTCTGCTCTGATCTCTTCGTTGAACAGAGAGCCGCGGTGAACTCTCGAGCACAGAACTTGGGCTCCCTACTTCCTGGACAGCTAGACTGGGGGACGCTTGTGGATGGCAGGATTCAAAAGCCTAATGTGGAAGCAGCGAGAGATAGTCATTCAGATTTAAAATTGGTACAGTATGAGGGAGGTTATGCTCTGCCATGGTCATATTAGCTGTTATTATCAGTGCCACTAGAACGCGACACAGATGATCGTTTCCCTAACTGCACCCAATGTCCTGAGGAGTATATGATGGATGTTATTGCGATCCGTCCTGTTCCTTTCCATTCCATCCGGGTGGGAATATTGTCACGGTTCCTACAGCAAACTTCATCCAGTTACCCGACACCTGATATAGGCAATAAGACATGATTAAGGGGGAATGGTTATGAGCAAGGTGCGGGTGGGACCTGATGGAAGCTAGTACTCCATTAGGCTTAAAACTTGGCCTATGCGGTTAACATCCTTGATCAGAAAGTGGACAGAGTTTCGGTACTGACTGTATCTTGGCTGATGGATTGTGTTGTTTTTCTCCTATAGGAATCCGTGTACCCTTATCGGATAATGCATAGTACCATCCAGGAGTGTCATGCGTTGTCCAATTCGCTCCATATGTCGACGCAGGCCAAATTATTATTAGATTTGAACATCTATCATCAGTACTCACGCACTCTATAGCTTTAATGGTTGTGCGTTTGATACGCACGCTTCTTCGGCCTTGTTTGTTCTTCTTACTGACAATAACCTTCACACTGTTCGGCATTGAAAGGAGGGTACCAGTCTCATTGTAGTTCCGCATATTCCATGGACGGATATCCGGACGCTACAGCAGTGGTCCAATTACCTCAAATCGGTGTGCAACCTTATCATATATATCGAACCGTCTCCAGTCCAACGCTTGTTGTTTGCTCGCAGTGAGATCTGGATGGCATTTACAAAAGGCCTGTGGCCAGCTTTTGTAGGGAGGTTTACTTGGCCTGTTGCCTGGCTCTCGTTGAGTAGCAGTGCCTTAGGCTATTAAACGACCGTGACCTACTCGAACAGAGCGCCCAAGGGCATTCTGGTGCAACAGAAACTCCGCAAGGGCTTTTTCTTTCCATGGGTAGAAATAAAGCTGACCGTCATCCTTGTCTTTCCTAGATTGTCGACCGCTGGCACGGTATTGAAGGGAAGTGCAACAGACATCATTGTCAAGCGCTTATTGACGTAGTGAACCTGGGAATTCTGGTGCCAGTAACCAGCTCGTTTTGTCCATATTAGCTCACTGCGGCGGTAGTGTTGTGAGGAGGAACCAGGCGATGAAGCAGTGCTACAAACCGAGATGGGACTGCCCTTAACCCTGTTAGTTCTAACGAGCCGTTTGCGGGCCAATCTGCTCGCGAATCTTGAGTTCGCTTGGCATCGCTGTATGGTAACGTTAGAACTAGTTCTAGAGCACTGTCATACAAGCGTAGGCAAGACCAGCAGCTCCCTCTGCGCTCCCTTTCTCTCCTACCATTGTTATCTACTTGGTCTTGTAGATAATAGTTATTGCTACTGATACATTATGATAATAGGATCATTAAGGCTAATAGCCCCGGTTTCGCCAACTGAATACCTTTGTCCCCTCAGTGCTCGCCTTCGTCTTCTTCTCCACTACTCTCACCCTCTGCCCAACTGAGGCCCTGTTCTATAAGTGCAATGGCTTTGGTGGCTAGCTTACACTGATTCAGGATGGCCCTGAGGTCGTTTCGTCCTTGGAGTCTTCCTAGCTGGTGTCTCCTGATTTCCTTGGGTATCTAATATGTTACGAGGGCGTGTCTAACAGTTTGCGGGCCCATGCGGCGTCCGCATGTCGCGTCTCGGTGGCCTGGCATGCGCCAGGAGGCAAGAAAGGTGCATAGGCCGATCTTCTCTATCCTTATTTACATAAGCAGCGCGCTCTGTCACTTGCTGAGGTCTTGTTACGATGGTAACACGTGATAAAATCAAAGGACAAAATATGATTGGCTCTGGGGACGAGAAGCCAATGGTAAATGCAGAAGCGCTCATTAAGTCTTGGCATGAGCGCGCTCACGGTGCTCATGGATGAGCGGCATGAGCGCTCCCCTGGCGCTCATGAATTAGCGTGATGAGCGGTATTTTCCTATGTCTATAAAAACACTGGCTTTTCCTCTCATTAAACAAATCGTAGTTTAACTGTCTAGTATATCTAGTAGTTAGTTTGAACATTCTCTCATACTTGAAGCTCATACTACTCTAAGTCATAAAACTTGGACTAACTTATTCCTCTTCCTTTCTGAATAAGTCCTAGTTCCATATTATTCCCTTTTGCTCTAGGAAGCCAACCCCTTCCGAAGTGGCTTACATTAGTGAAGCTAGTCGGTATTGGGAAAGTGTTCCTAACATCAGCTTACTGTTAGGAATACTTTCCCAAAACCGACTAGCTTTACTGGTGTAAGCTACTTCGGAAGGGTTGAGCTTCCTAGAGCAAAGGGATAAAGAAGAGACTAAGACTTATTGAGGAGGAAAAACAGTAAGATAGTACTCAGTTTTATAGCTTAGAACAGTGTGAGCTTCGAGTATGAGATAGTATTCAAACTAACTACTAGGCAAAGCTAGACAGTTAAACTACAATTTGCTGAAAGTGAGGGTAAAGCCACTATTTTATAGACATAGGAAAATCCTTCTCATTGTTCTCATGCCATGAGACGCATGAGAACTCTCACAATTCTCATGCCGTGAGACGCATGAGAATTCTCATTGCCAAGAACGAATGAGAGATTCTGCATCTGTCATTGGTTCTTTCCTAAGAGCCAATCATATTTGCTTTCCTGGTTTCATCACGTGTTACCTTCGTAACACTTACCTACTAGATAGACCGCCGCTGCTCTGACGCGACCGTTGATACTGCTCCTATCTATATAGATATATATACTATTAGGTATCTTTATTATAATATTATACCTAGATCGTAATTTATCATCCGAGTCAATATATATGGTTGGTCCCAGTTGCCATGGGGGCATAATGAATAAAGGGATTGTCTCAGGTCTCTTAGTGCTTATCTCTCCAATTGTTTGCACTTCCGCTCTGATCTTTTGTAACGGGCTTCTGTATTTGGGTTCTTTCTGTCTTGTTCGGCTTCTTAGGGAGCTTCTCATCTCTGTAAACCCGGGGCTGGATTGCAGCCGTCCAAGCGTTTCCAAGTTATGCTTTATTATCTATTGTTTAATTGGGAGAAGGTAAGCCTCAAAATCAAGTGTGGGCTTAGACATTGCCTCATATGCCCTAGTAATTATACAGGCCCCTCATACTGGGATAGATTCTAATATGTTGAGCATCTTCGTTATATATAAGTAGCTCTTTTTACTTGATTTTGACCATAGCGAACAGGCGTATATCATCTAAGGAATTACCTGCTCTTTCCATTCCAGTTTGGCGTTCATGGTGACCCCTTGGTATTTATATTTTTGTTAGGAACACTGTCCCAATACCGACTAGCTTCACTAATGTAAGCCACTTCGGAAGGGGTTGGCTTCCTAGAGCAAAGGGAACAATATGGGACTGGGACTTATTCAGAGAGGAAGAGGAATAAGTTAGTCCAAGTTTTATGACTTAGAGTAGTATGAGCTTCAAGTATGAGAGAATGTTCAACTAACTACTAGATATACTAGACAGTTAAACTACAGTCTGCTGAAAACGAGAGCGAAGCCACTATTTTATAGACATAGGAAAATCCTTCTCATTATTCTCATGCCATGAGACGCATGAGAGATCCTGCATCTGCTATTGGTTCTTCTCCCAAGAACCAATCATATTTGCTTCCTTGGTTTTGTCACGTGTTACCTTCGTAACAATATTCTACTAGGTGTGATCGTACGTAGCGCTGTCTGCATAGGCTGCTCTGTGTCAACACTTGTTCTGGATCTTATGAAATGTACTATTTGGAACTTTTCTAGTGGGAACTTAGAGGCAGAAGTCACTGCCCAGCGCTGTGCTCACTGTAATACCTTATCTAGTTTGGTTATCATCTCTGTTGCTATCTGTCTATATGCTAGCATTACTATATCATCAATATAACCTGTAGTAGTGACATCTTCTGCATTACTCACTTCAATGAGGTCTGAGTTATATAGGATATAAAGGATGGTTGAAAGAGGTGATCCCTTGGGGACCCCCATCCGAATCGCAAACTCCTCAGATTCGTGGCCATTGTCACGAAACCGATAGAAGAGATATGCTCAAGTGTCACGTGAAGTGAAATAATGAGATTCGTCGTCTGTCTACTTAGATCGTGCGGTACAGGTGTAGTACCAATGTGAGGAACAGAGAGGGAACTGGCGCACGGGGCAGCTGCGCTTAGGCCACGAGTCACATGCTCTTTGGGACTGTAGTATTTAAGCTACGCACAGCGTTCCTTTTAGTTCGCTTCCTTAGTCGTCAGTCTTGACACGAATCCAAGCCTATTGCTCTCCATCTTGATATCACGCTTACATCCACCCCTTACAATTCTGACGACTCTTTGCCAAAACAAAGGCGTAGGCCCGGTATCAAGATGTCGGAGCAACTGCGAGAAGACAGCGCTTCAATGCCTATCACGGATACAGAGTTACCAACCTCAACATCAACAATCAACGAACAGATCAAAGAACTAAAGAAAAGAGAAGCTGACCTACAAAAAAGAATTCAGCTTAAAGAACTGAAAGATAAAGTAGCGCGGATGGAAGCTGTCCTTGAAGGACAACCAACACGCAGCACTCCCGCCACCGAAGAGGAGATAACACAACTAGACACAGACGCTGAAGCTGCTGAACCACGAGCACAGAGTACCACACCTCAAGGGAAGGATATCCACCCCAAGGACCTCCCAGAGTATAAAGGAAAATCATTGCGCGAATACACCGACTGGGTTGACTGCGCTGTAAATGCGTTTCGCCTGGCCCCCAGGCGGTTCGCCCAGGAGGGCGTCCGAGTCGCCTGGGCCCAACAATTTCTTACTCCCTCTTTAAAGACAACCTGGTCCGATTATATCCGTACTAAGGAAGAAGAGAGCGACACCACATGGAAGGAATTTACCACATTCCTTCTGGACAAACTCGAAGATCCAGGAAACCGCGAGCTAAGCGTTCACATGGCGCACGCGCGGGCAACCCAGAGGAAGGGACAAACAGTTGCTGACTTTGAAGCATACCTTACCTCCCTCGAAGCTCAGATGACCACTGCTTGGACAGAGAAAGAAAAGCGCAATAACTTAATTGCAAAACTGAGGGTAGACTTACAGCATCATTTAGCAAGCCTACCAACAATACCCGAAACACGCAGCGGCGTCGTGACGTTACTTACGAGATGGGAGAGAACCAAGAAGAGGTTGGAGACGGAAACAATGAACGCAAGCTCCAAGCGGAAATTCGGCGACAACGATGCTCCAATAAAACGCAGCCAAGGCGCTGAAGCGGCACATCGGAAATTCAAAGTTGAAGATTCCGAGTCAGCGACCAATAAGAAGAAAGAAACGAAGTTGCGGTGTTATAAGTGCGATAAAGTGGGGCACTTAGCGCGAGACTGCCGAAAACCAAAGGAGGACGCTACCAATAAGGGAAAAGCGTCGGGGTCGCATTAATCTCTACGCATGCGACCCGCACGGAATCACAAGCCGTAGGGAAAGCGATGAATACAGAAGGCGTAATCGAAGGACCCACCAACAAGAAAGACATCAAGATAATACTAGACTCAGGAGCAGACGTCAGTCTGATCGCGCCAAGGCTGGCGGAGGAGCTGGGTCTTCCGGAAGCTAATGTGCGCATGCCCCATCTGCGCTGGGGCGGCGTCGCAGATGCCAACTGCTTTGGGGTACATGAGGTTAAGTTACACCTCAAGGATTTCAACGGGGTCAAAAGGACAATACACGCCATTGTATTCTCAGTTGATCAAGGGCAGTCCCATATCACATTGGGTATGCCTGCCATGAAGCAACAAGATATCCTCCTAGACATTGGGGAAGAGAAGTGGTACTTCAAGGACACAGTACCAACGATCCGCATGATAAGTGCAGAGGAGGAAATCAATGAGGATGAGTACTACAGCATACTCCTCCTACACACAGAATCTAAGGAAGCGCGGCCAGATCGCACGCTACCTGAAGAACTGCGAGATTTCGCAGAAGTGTTCGAAAAAGAGGCCGCTACAACGCTGCCAAGCCACAAGAGCACTGATCACGCGATCGAAACGACAGATGAGCCGCCACACTACCCAATTTACCACATGTCGGCGAAGGAGCTCAAAGCTCTGAGAGAATACCTCAATGAGGCACTGCAGAATGGGTGGATAAGGCCCTCCACGAGCCCTGCAGGCGCACCCGTTCTGTTCGTGCCCAAGAAGAATGGCGAGCTACGCCTATGTGTGGACTACAGGGGCCTCAACAAGGTCACTATCAAAAACAGACACCCGCTGCCACTTATTTCAGAGATCTTGGATCGACTGAGTGGCGCGAGGATCTTCACAAAACTGGATCTCAAGAATGCGTACTACAGGATCCGCATTAAAGAAGGCCATGAGTGGAAGACGGCGTTTCGAACGCGCTATGGCCATTACGAGTACCTGGTAATGCCGTTCGGCCTAGCCAACGCGCCAGCAACATTCCAGGCGTATATCAACAAGGCGTTGGGGAACTACGTCGATACCATATGTATCGTGTACCTCGACGATATACTCATCTATTCAGAGAACAGGGAATCCCACATACGGGATGTGCGCGCAATACTTGCGCAGCTCCAAGCGCATGACCTATACTGCAATCTCGAAAAGTGTGAGTTCTTCACTGACGAGGTTGAGTTTCTCGGCTTTGTGGTCGGGACGGACGGCATACGCATGGATCGAGCGAGGGTAGCGACCATTGAGGAATGGCCTACACCAACGACCCTAAAGGAAGCGCAAATGTTCCTAGGGTTCTGTAATTTCTATAGACGATTTATCAAAGACTACGCAAAGATTGCGAAAGGCTTAACTGACCTTACAAAAGGAGTGAAAAATGGTAAGCCTACAAAACCATTTGAGTGGACTGAAAGTGCAGAGAGGTCGTTTCGGATGCTACAAGACGCGTTCACGACAGCACCAGTCATTCGACACTTTGACCCAGAACTACCAATCAGGGTAGAGACAGATGCATCGCAATTCGCGATAGCGGGGATACTATCCCAGTGTGACAAAGAGGGCCAATGGCGCCCAGTGGCGTTCTATTCACGCAAGATGAAAGACGCTGAAACAAGGTACAAAACGTACGACCAAGAGTTGCTCGCCATTGTGGACTGCTTTAAGCAGTGGAGGCATTACTTAGAAGGAAGTGTGTCTCCGATAGACGTCTATACGGACCACAGAAATCTGACCGGACTCGCACGGGTAACGCAGCTTAACAGCAGACAGGCCAGATGGGCTATGCTGTTAGCGGGGTACGACTTTGTCCTTCACCACCGCGCGGGTCCGTCCAATCCCGCAGATGCGCCCTCGAGACGCCCAGACTATGTGACGGAAGAAAAACCGGTAGACGATCTGCTTCCAACACTACGCCAAAAGTTGGCAGTGTTGCCGGAAAGTGCTGTGAGCGCAACCCTGGTGCTTAAAAACAGATCAAAAGCGATCGGGCACACAGGGCAACAGCCAGGGACTAGTCCAGAGTGCAGGGAGGCGAGCCCCTGTGGCGATGCTATGACTGCGGCCTTACGCGGTCTTCGCGCATCCCGGACGCGGGAAGAGTGCGGGCATCGTGGGCAACGAACAACGTGGCAAGTAGGGAAAAGCGCCTACCCACG